CACACACACACACACACACACACACACACTCTCACACACTAAAGCTCTCCACATGCTTTGCATTAAGATGTAGGGAGTTCTCTCCACAACTGTGCCAGAATCATTTCCCACTTGACTTTGACACTGTGTAGGTTTCTCTGTTTGACTGTGTGCTTTTTGTGTCACAGTGCAGAACCCGTGTGCAGATCAGAACGGAGGCTGTGCCCACATTTGTCAAGTCGATGGTGGCAGAGCTCACTGTGACTGTAAGCTCGGTTACATCCTCGCTGAAGACAGGAAAACCTGCGAAGGTAATTTCAGCAAAGTGGTGATTAATTGCACTTGGAGTAAAAAGTGATTATAAGAAAAATAAATAACAAGAAACATCAAAGACTAGAAACTTCACCTCATTTCGTAGTTGCTTAGATTGTTTCTTCAACTGCTGTTTCCAAAATCTGTCTCGCAAAACTAACGAGACAAATTTTTCTCAGACGTTTAAAACGAGTATGTTTTTCTTTTAAAAGTCTAAATAAAGTGGAATTTACAAGCCAGTCTTTCCACTGTCACTATCAACTACCGCTGGGTTAGAAGTGAGTGTGAAGGACAGTTACAAGCTCATGGTGATGAATGTAAATGAAACTGTGCTGACCAGATGAATTTCTTCTAATAATTCAGTGTTTTTTTTATTTTGTCACAGATTTTGACGAGTGTAAGACTGAAGCCAACTGTGCTCATGGCTGTCACAACACTCTGGGCTCCTACGCGTGTGTTTGTAACGCTGCCTATGAGCTGGGGTCGGATGGGAAACAGTGTTACAGTCAGTTTCTTTATTATACACAGTTCATATATTGAGGTGGTAAAATAAGTTTTAAGTTCTATAATCTTATATTATCTAGGAATTGAGATGGAGATTGTGAACAGCTGTGAGAACAACAACGGTGGTTGTTCACACCTCTGCCAGCATTCAACCAGCGGGCCTGTCTGCTCCTGTAACCAAGGTTACAGACTAGATGACGACCTTAAAACCTGCGTTGGTAAGAAATCATAATGGATTAATAAACAGAGTTATAACAGGATGTAGTTCTGATGCATTACCTGAACACTTTACTGTGAAACGTCACAGAAACATTTCATTACTTCTCCTTTAAATCATCACCCAACATGATTTATGGCTAAATTAGAAAACAAAAGATAAATTATTAAACTATGGAGCCCCTTAAAATATGTAATCGGTAGTTATTAGGCAACTGGACTTGTTTGTGTCTTGTAGTCCACCTAAACCCCTGAAGATACCACGACCGAGAACCTCCACAGATATCTTGTGTGTACGAGTTAAAAACAAATCTGTCTTTACTTTAGAGAATTTTTCGGTCTCTAACCTTTGATTGCTTTGATTGCAAATTGCTCTTTCATTCAGGAGAATGAGAAAGAGGAGAATTATATTCTCTGTAGTTTTTGATTTGAGAGTAAAGGTGCAAACATTCACTGAAGTCAGATCTCGTTCAAAGTGCAGCACTATTACCTGAAGTTATAGCGTTGACCTTAACTGGCAGTTAAATCTGTACAATTTACACAGTCTCATAAAAACTGTCTCTCAGTGAGCAGAGAAGCACATGACCTCAGTGGGATCATCATTTTCTTGTCGTCCTGCTTGTTGTGTTTGGCAGACGTCGACGAGTGTGGAGAGCAGAGCTCCTGCTGCGAGCAGGACTGCACCAACTACCCTGGAGGTTACGAGTGCTACTGCTCCGCAGGATACAGGCTCAACTCAGACGGGTGTAGCTGTGATGGTATGTTTCACTCCCCCTCACACTATAAGGGGGATAATATTTATACTCTTACCAGTTCGTTTCACGAGGAGTCAGTGTTGCCTTTGTTTCATTCAGCTGAGTAGACTTTTTCTCAGCAAAGCTCTTGAGTCTGAGCTGTGTGTGTGTGTGTGTGTGTGGGTTGTTTAGATGTAGACGAGTGTCTGGCTGCCAATGCCGGTTGTGATCACACGTGCCAGAACAGCGCGGGCTCTTTCCAGTGCTTCTGCCGCCGGGGTTTCCGTTTGGACGACGACCGGCAATCCTGCATCCGTGAGTACCAGCAATCAGGGTAAAGAGAGTGGGAACAGCACCAAATATACGCCAAGAGTAAACCTGCAGAACTGTGGCTGCTGGTTCTGAGAGTTTTTAAGTGAATCGCCTGGACTTTGGTTTTATTTCGCAGCAGTGAAACATGAAGCTTGTGTTTATTTGAATGGAATAGAAGTTGTAAGTTTGAAAAGACCATTCTGAGCTGCTGCACAGTTTGATGCCACAACTGGAAAAAATAAAATATGTTCCTGACATTGTGATAATTCCAGCCAATCAGAGATGTTGTTTTTGAATAAGAGACGTTTTTTTAAAACAGAAGTTTCTGGTGTCATTTGAGGACAAACACAGGTTTTACTAATAACATCAACAATGGTTCTTTTCTGTTTAAAATGTCCCTGTGAGTCAGCGTGAGCAATACCAGGACCTTGAAATGGAATTCAGTCATTCGTTTTATCATTTACAGTTGTTCTTTTACATCGATTCAAAAACAATCCTACCGCTTACAGCATGTTTCATTAGACATGACTGTGGAGCACTGAGGAGTTTCTGTAAAGCTGAACCACCTTTTATACAGAAGTACTGTGCGTCATCATTCAAATCCAATCTGATAGAAAACCTGCCCCTGGGCAGGAGCGTTTCAAGGGGTCTTTAGGGGGGTCTTACATTGAATCAAACCTACCCCCCACCCACCAAAATGATTGACTCATGATTCCAATCTTCAAATGATTCTTTTATTATCAAATTACTAAGTTCTAAATTCAAACTGTGCAGCCAAATCGAAAATATTAAAATAGAAAAGTTTAAGTGTAAACCCCCACCACCACCCCAGACACATCAGACACACACTCACAGACATTATGAAGCTTTTGGTAGAAAACTAGTGGTGTGGGACCTCGTTAGTGGTTTGACCACAACGTTGCTGTGGACTAATCTAATTCTCAGTTGTTCTTGAGCACCCCCCCCCTTCAGCTTGGGGAACAATTGCTTGCTTTGCTCACCCTCTTGCAACGCCCCTGCCTGATGTGGGAAAGATCGTTTCAGTTGTTGCCCATTTAAAACCTAATTATTCTGAAGTAGCACTATAGAATAAACAGCCAATGCTTTTTTTTAAACTTACTGTATTTATTTCCATCATGTTTAATGTGTATGAATGAGTTTTAAAAGGGACTCTAAGATGTGGGAACATAGTTATAATATCAGGGGGAAAAGTGTTATTCTACAAGAAAAAATATGTATATATTTACGAGAATTAAATGTTATTTTAGTCGAAAGAAAGATTATATAACAATTATCTCATGATATAGATGGATTAACCAAAACCCATCAAGACAAAAAACTGAAGGATGTGCAGTAAATATATTTTTGTAAATGTTTGCAGCGCTTGAGGATGCAGTTGAGGCCCTCTCCAGCGGGGGTCCCATCGAGCTGCCACTCATCCGCCCCCAGCTCACCTTGCTGCAGGACTACAGCCAACCTCTGGAGCGCTATGATGACTACGAAGACGACGAGGGGGAGCTGAGGGCTGAGAGTAACCTGGCAGAGAAGTTTGGTGAGTCCCCCCCCCCCCCCCCCCCCCCCCCCCACCCCCCCCCCCCCCCCCCCCCCCCCCCCCCCCCTCAAACCATTAAGCGCTCATTATCATTAACAGGAACCTGTATCTGATTACCTGAGTGTGGCTCCCCGGAGGTGAGGCTGTCAGACAGACAGATTACTGCGCTGCACGCTCCCAGACTGTTGGTACATCCTGTAACACCACAGTCTCTCTGGCAGGAATGCTGAGGATTATATGACCCGGCAGCTGCTGCAGGTCTGACACAGGACGTCACGAGTGTTGCTTCAGTGAAGGTTGCAAAGAGAATCACCTGAACACTGTCTCCAAACCACACATATATCTGAATGGACAGTGTTGTTGCCTGTGGTCTCTCAGTCAGCTCAAAAAGACACTCGGCCAAAAGTTGTCTAGAGGCACAATCAGGAGAGTTTCAAGGGACTAAAGGGGCCCTACATCGAACTGATCCCACACACGATGCAGGCTGAAACACATTCTATCAGAAAGAACAAATGCATACAGTCCTGAGATTTGAGAAGCTGGAATCATATCACATCATATAACCATCTAAACTTAGATGATTGTTTGTGTTATTGTGTTTCCAGTGTGTCTGGACGACACCTTCGGGAACGACTGCAGCTTGACGTGTGACGACTGCTCTAACGGAGGAAGATGTAACGTGTGGAAAAATGGCTGTGACTGCCCCGATGGATGGACGGGCATCGTCTGCAACCAGAGTGAGGACTGACGACCACACACACACACATGCCACAGTTTGTAAAGTCAGTGATAAACCCTGTTATTTATCGACCTCACAGCTTGCTCCGAGGGATATTTTGGTAAAAACTGCTCCTTCCACTGTAAGTGTAAAAACGGTGCCAACTGTGATCCGGTCACTGGGAGCTGCCGCTGTCCGCCTGGAGTCAGTGGAGACTTGTGTCAGGATGGTGAGTTAGTAAAAAACAAAAGAAATGTATTCCTGTGTATTCTTTCATTTTGTTTTTGAAAACATTTGAAGTTTATTGCATTTTTTCCCTGTGTGCAGGTTGTCCAAAGGGTTTGTACGGAAAACAGTGCAACAAGAAGTGTAACTGTGCAAATAACGGACGATGCCACCGAACCTACGGAGCCTGTCTGTGTGATCCTGGACTGTACGGACGCTTCTGCCACCTCCGTAAGTCACATGACACTCAAACCCTGTCTGGAAACCAACCTGACGAGAGATACAGTCTTCTATTCCACATGAACCCTTTATCCACACATCAGTTTCCCTCTGTGGTGAAGTCCTCCTTGTCTCCTTTGTCTCACTGTCTTTTCTTCAGCTTGTCCAAAGTGGACATTTGGAGCGGGCTGCTCTGACGAGTGTCACTGTGTCCAGCAGAACACTCTGGAGTGTCACCGTCGCCATGGCACCTGCGTCTGTAAATCTGGTTACCGGGGCAACACCTGCAAGGAAGGTGAGTACAATGTCATAAAGCCCTGGCCACTTAAAGGCCATACTACTACTACTACTACTACTACTACTACTACTACTACTCCTACTACTACTACTACTCCTACTACTACTACTTATATTAATAATAATAACAACAATAATAACAATAACTGGAGTCAGAGATACCTGCAGAATAGCAATAAAGTGGTGTTCCACATGTTCCAATATATATGTTTTAAGTAAAATAAAGAAATAAAAAGTATACAGATACAGATTTGTGTTGTCGTGGTGTGTAACGCTCTGTCCTCCCCGGTCTGCAGAGTGCGAACCAGGAACGTTTGGATCCGGCTGCGAGAAGAAGTGCTCCTGTCCACCCGGGGTGTCGTGTGACCATGTGACTGGAAAGTGCCAAAGAAAGTGTCCTCCTGGTCGTCATGGGGAGAATTGTGATCAAGGTAAGCGTCCCTGCAGAGGACATCCTTTACTCGTACTGTGAGGCCCCTACGTGTCCTGTTTTGAGATGACTCCCTGCTGTGTGTCTCGTCTCAGACTGTCCAGAGGGATGGTTCGGTGCAGGCTGCGTTCATCCCTGCAACTGCAGCAGCGCCCCGTGTGACAAAGTGACAGGACAATGCAAGTGTCCGTCAGGGACGACAGGAAAACACTGCGAGAACTGTGAGTGCACTCACACTTTTTTACACAACTCCATGACAAAAAAATCTCACAAATGTTCACATAACAACGAGAACATATACATTTTTAATCGCAGTGTGTCAGGAGGGATTGTGGGGCCCAGGCTGCAGAGAGACCTGTCCTGCTTGTGAGAACGGCGGCTCGTGTGATAAACACAACGGATCGTGTAACTGTCCTCCTGGATTCATGGGCAGACTCTGCCAAGACTGTGAGTATCTGCAGTGGGCATTGTTGGGTTTTATGTTTCCATAGTAACCCACATCAAACAGTGATACAGCTGAGCAGAATGACATCTCTGTGGAATGTTTGAATCATGCTGTGGTGGAATCTGTCAGCAGCCTGAACCTCAGACATATTTTCATATATTTTCACAGAGAAGAACAAATATATGATTCAATTTCAACCAACCGCTGCACCACAGCACGGGAACTTTGCAGTTCTCCTCATGTGATCTGTCGAGGTCTCTCACACTACATCAGTCCTGACACTTAAAATATTTGTTTTCCTCGTGCAGCGTGCCTGAGTGGACGTTTCGGTGAAGGGTGCCAAATGAAGTGTGTGTGTGAGAACAACGCTCACTGCGACCCGGTGACTGGACGGTGTACCTGCGCTCCCGGCTGGACTGGACACAACTGCAGGAAAGGTAACAAGACCGGGAAACATCTGTCACTGCTTCAAACCAGAAATATAACATCTGCTACGACAGCGGAGGAGAGTTTATGTGGGAAAATGGATTTAAAATTGGTGATAGAAACATTTGTGAATAAAAGGTTTAGATGTGTTTGACCCTGAAGTTTGTGTTTCAGTGTGCGATGGGGGACACTGGGGAGCCGACTGTGCAGAAACCTGCGACTGCAGAAACGGAGACGGCAGCTGTGATGCTGTGACGGGCCAGTGCAACTGTGAGGCCGGTTACACTGGGACACAGTGTCATCACAGTACGTCGGTGTCTTTGTTACAAGTGTTCAGTATGTTATGAGTTAAAGTCACTGGATGTGGATGTATAATAACGTTTGATTGTAGACAAATGAAAAATGCAGGTGAAGTTATTGATTCCTCATCCAGTCATTCTCAAGTTAGTCATTCTGCTGTGTCATTCTTGATGTCACCACTAGGTGGCGTCAAAGTTAATGTTTCTAATCCTACACAAAGATACGGTGTAAAAAACACTGTCTCTGATTACCTCCAGGTAATGAAAGTACATATACTACATATCTTTTTTTTTTCATTCAGTATTTTTTAAGTTTTCAGTTGTATCATATCAACTTCTTCATACTTTTATTGCTATAGATGTTTTGCTCATGCAGAGGGAAACCGAGAAATCAGAAACTACACACTAGAATTCTTATTTGTTTGTTCAAATGTTGTTGTTTTTTCTTTGTACACTTCACTTTTTGTCCACATCATCTTAAAAATCGAGATTAGAATTTTATTCTCCTACTTGAAACCAATAAATCACCACAAGGTCAAAGAAGAAATCTTTCAATCTCAACTATGTCTCTGTTGTGTCATCTCATTATCAAAGTGGACCTGAAATGTGTGTGTGTGTGTGTGTGTGTGTGTGTGTGTGTTACTCCCTCAGAGTGTCCAGCAGGTATGTTTGGTCTCGGTTGTCGTCATCGGTGTCAGTGTGACAACAAGGCCTTGTGCGACCATGTGAGCGGAGCTTGTACTTGCCAGGTGGGATGGACGGGAACCTTCTGCGAAAAACGTAAGAGACACTATTTAGATAGAGAGACACTTTATTGATCCCGAAGGAAATTCAAGCATCCAGTGGCAGTAACATACATTGAACATACATTAGACTTGACTTATGCATTAGAGTTAACTTATAACACAGTAACCA